TCTGCCCGCACGCCCGCTCTGCGTCCTGTGTGCTGCACGCCCGCTCTGCCCGCACGCCCGCTCTGCTATAATCTACCTCCTGCTTTCCTTTTTGCACATATATTCTGTGCCACTTTTATAATTAGCCAAACCAAGAAAAAGATTTCTAGTTTGACTGAGATAAACTAGCAAACGATGGAAATAAGGTTTACAATGGAGAAGTTAATTTTTCTGCCTGAGCCAAATCCTTCTTCTGTCCCCCCAGTTCAGGTGGGAGGGGAGAGGAAAGGGGAGCATGTGCCTGTGAGGGTCCCTCCTTCCTGACACCCTCAAGGTGGACCCAGGGGTCCCGTGGGGAGGAGCTGCTGTCTAGATCAGGGCTCTGAAGCTGGGGGGCTCATACCTCAGAGTTGGCTGGCACGGTGAACTGGGAGGGCAGGCTGATCTCGGGGATCCTGCAGTCCGTGGAGAAGGTGACTGAGTAGGGCAGCGGGTTCTCCAGCTTGATGGAGGCCGACTTGCTCTGCCGGACCACACTCACCATCTCGATGGTTTTGATGATTCCCGAAGGGATGACCCGGAAGCTCACGGTGTAGAACAAGAACTCGTTGGTGGTCTCGTTCCGGAAGATGACCTGCACCACGGAGGGGGAGGAAGCGGCCGGAGCAGAGGGTGAGCGGAGGGTCCGCTCCTGTTTCCAGCCCTGGAGCCCAGCTGGGGCCTCGGCTGGTGCACGTGTGCATGGCTGACCTCAGGCCTGGCCACCTGGCCTCACACTGGCTGCACTCCTACCATTCCCAGCAGCAGGGACTCCTCGCCTCCTGTCATCCTCTGCGTCTTTCTACACTCACAGGCCAAATTCTGGGACCCCCCTCTCACCTCCATTTCTAACTCACACGTATATCCTTCCCCAGAATCAAGTGCACCAAAACTCCGAAGAGTCTGCATTCTTCTAGGGCCTCTAAGAGTCTCCTTCCACGATATCCTGTTCTTAGCTCACGGACTGGGTTGCCATCCTATATCCTTGGCGTATATGAAAAAACTACCCATTAACAGTTTCTTTCTGTTTGCTTTCATAACGTTTCTCTCAGAGATTCTTGCTTGTTGGGCTGGTATTTCTGACTAGGATTTTTTCCTTTATATGCTTGTATGTCTTAATTTTAAGTTTCTCCATTGGTGACCAAAGGACAGTGTCTACCCAGGAATAAAGCTCAGAGGGCAGGGAGAGGTGGGGGAGAAGACAGATGGAAGTGGGGAGCACATGGGGGAGAGAGAGGAGTCCTGTGTATGTGGGATTTCCATCAATGCCATGAATCAAAAGGTGACTGAACTGCTGAGGAGAAAACCAATCCGTATGATAAATTTTCACTCAGATCATGATGTGTTCTGAGCGCCTGTCACTGTGACTATGGGGAAGGTCACAGACTGCTGGGTGGAACATTCTAGCTCCTCTTGCTGTTAGGTCTGAACTGACTCATGGTTAAGCCTCCAGTGGGTTTTCTGAGGTTGTGAGCTGCACAGGAGGAAACGGCCATTTTTACTGCCATCAGAGTAACTGTTAGATTCGAACTGCCTGCCTTTGGGTTGGCAGCACAATTCCTTACCTACGAGGCCACCAGCCAGCCATGATCTTTTCAATCATTTGCTGTGCATCGCAAGTCTGGGTAATGAGTAAGGATGAATTAAGAAGACCTGAGGCCTTTAGCTGTGGTGCTGAAGAAGAGCACTGACTATCCCACGGCTGCTAAAAGAACAGACAGGTCTTGGAGAAAGCGCAGCCGGAGTGCTCCCTGGGGGCAGAGATGACACAGCTTCGTCTCACATAGTTCAGGCACGTTGTTAGGAGGGACTAGTCCTTGGGGGGGAAATGATGTGTGGAAAGGTGAAGGGTTGGTGGAAGAGAGGAAGATCCTCACTGGGATAGACCGACATGGTGACTGCTGCAATGGGCTCAAGTGTGTCAGAGACTGTGAGACGGCACGGGACGGGACAGGGTCAGGTCTGCTGTTCAGGTCACTGTGGGTCACACTTGACTCAATGGTACCTCACAACAACAACAACCTCTGAGTGGAGTCAGGGGACAGGTGTGCTCCCGGAGACCTTTGCCTCACTTTGTCTTCCTCGAGGTGACTCACTTTCCACAACTTCACACACCCTATCAAGGGATGGCTCCAGAATTCTCTCCAGCCCGGATCTCTCCTTCCTTTAAAAACACTTCCCTCACTCATCATAGCACTTAGACAGTTACAGCACGGTTCTGGATTAAGGTCATTCTCTCCCCTACTGCCCACCAGACCTATGGGTTCCCTGAGCGCAGAGATTGTGCCTGGTTTTGACCCATGACGTTCTATGTTACCAATACTCCATAGAGAACATGGCACATAGCAAACATCACTTAGTAGAGACCATGGCTCAGCGAACATT